TTCTTTCTTTCTTTCTTTCTTTCTTTCTTTCTTTCTTTCTTTCTTTCCTTTCTTTCTTCTACCCAAATAGGGTACACCCTTACCTGTGGATGCTCTGCCTAAAAGGAATGTAAATTTTAATCTCTGGAACATTTATAAGTGGTGAAATATGCATGAGGGGGCACATGTAATGCACACGTGCCCCATAAACCATGCATATACATGTGACAACGCATGCATACACAAATGTACATGCATATACTGTTCACATCTATGCATGTGCACAGACCCTTTTTGTACAGACAAGAAGAAGGTGACAAAAAAGGACCGAATGCCACAAATTCAGGGTTACATGGGATGGGCACTGCTCCAGTTGGTGGTGTGTGGGCTTCAGATGGACCCGAGTCACTCCTAAGGCCATTTCTGGGGTTGCCTCATTTTAAAATTCCTCTCTATGGCCCTGTACAAAGTACCCGTTGTGGTTTGAGAGATTGAGGGACCCTTCAAAGACCAGAGTATAGGATGAGGTTGTCTGGAATAAATTCACAGACTCAAGAATTCTTTAAGTCAAGGTGGCAAAGGTTTGTTGTTACTCTATACAGTGGGCAGAGGTCCTTAAGGAATTCTTCCATGGTGGGCAGAGCTCCTTAAGGAACTTGCAACCTAACATAAATGATGCTAAAGTTTATATAGGAAAAGCAGTGGATTATGTGCCAAGTATGATTATTCACTACTGGAAATGGGGATGGGGGGAAGAGAGGCTTCCTAAAGGGTGTGTTTTTGGTCTGTTATGTCTGAAACAAGATCGTTTCAGGGATTGATGTCTATAACTTGACTTCTGAATCATACATGATAACTGTGGGAATGAGTCCATGATAGTTCTGCTGGTACAAGATAGTTCTTTTCATGCAAGGGAGATTCTAGAGGTCAGCTTGTTCTTGTGACAGGAGAGATAGTTTACCTCACTGGGCTCACTCCTGAGTTATTGCCAGAGATAGGATCCTTGGGCTGGAGGGAAACTTTCAGTGATAGTGTTTCTGAGGCCAGGGAGAAATTGGATCCAAGCACAGGCATCTAGGCACCCCATCACACCCATACAGGACAAGTCACCTTTGTCTTTTGTAGCCACAACATGTATAATCCATGGATATGCATGTATGTATAGATATTTGTATTTTGATTTCATCAAGTCTATGAATACACTTCAAGTTTTAAAAAGAAACTTACATATTTTTGAATAATACTTTATTTTTTCCAATGTTTTAGGAGAAATTTCCAAAGTGAGCAAAAAAGATACAGATGTATAAAATACGTCTATATCTAGACTGTAAAAACATACATCTACATTAAATATACATATAAATATTTTTTTAAAAAAATGAGAGGAGTTAGTTTTAAATTAGTTTATAAAGCAAAATAAAACAACAAAAAACCCATTGTGCCCACTAGACCCCAACCCCTACCCAAGCAAAACAAACTACTATAACTAATCCTTTTTACCCAAGTTCTAGCCTACACGCTTTCCTCACAGTACACCCCTGGATGACCTTCCTAAAGGACTTTCTTATTTCATTAACTTTTTTGTTTTCAAGGAACCTAGGTGACACATGGGTAGATTGCCAGATTGTCAGGAAGTCATGAGAGTTCAAATCCTGCCTCAGATGTTTAGTAACCAGGTGACCCTGGGTAAGTCAGTTGATCTCTGTTTGCCTTAGTTTCCCCATCTGTACCTCCGGATTGTTGTGAGGATCAAATGAGATTATACGTGTATATATATAGTGTTTTACAAATCGTAAAGTGAGCTCTCTCTTTCTCTCTCTCCCTATACACACACACACACACACACACACACACACACACTTTTTTTTTTTTCCATTTAAACCCTTAGTTTTCAGAGGGCCTCAAATAATTTTGTTGGTTAAAGGGCAGTGAGTGAAAATTTGTTTTTGTTCTAAGCATTATAAGGTTCAAGAGGCAGTTTCCTAACAGAAAGAAACTACATTAATTAGTACAATGTGTCCTGAGTAGCATTTTATGGAAAAATGTTCAAGAAAGTTGTAAAATTTCATAGAAATTGTGTTTACTTTTTGTTGATATACTCAGTGTGTGGACATTGGAAGCAAAATCTCATTTAGCTTAAGCCCCTGAGGCATCTATGTTTGGGACAAATTCCTGGGGCTGTCCACAGTGGGATTGGCTTTATGCCTAGATAGAGTAGGCAGCTGCCTATGTGGTAGGATCAGAGGGCCTCTGCTTCTCCCAAATCTACTGCTATTCACCTTTCCATGGCACCAAAATTCTCAAACTACTCAGTACTTTGGCTTAAGATATTGAAGGTACTATTAAAAAATGCATATGTTCTAAGGAAGGGGGACACATTGAACTGTCACAACCTGTAGCACAGCAGAAAAAATCTGTTTGATCGCTTAGCAGATCCTTGAATGAATGGGACAAAGGAAATGAGCTTTAACTGAGGGGGCGGGGGAAGGAGAGTCAGGAAAGGTCTGGCCAAAAAGATACATTCAGATGGGAGGCCAGGGTGAGGGGAAAGGCTGATAGAACTGGACCCCTTGGGAATTGGGGGTACCCAATGGGAATAGAGGAACACAAGAAGGAAGAGGAGAACGGAAGAACACAAAAGAAACATTTTGTCCAGGTCCAAAGCCATTCTGTAGCATGGTCTACTCAGTGCAACAAAGACTTGGGCACACTTTTCTTGGCTTATTGTTTTCCATTGGCGACGAAGGGCATATCAGACTTGCCTCATACCTTTTATGAATGGCCAAATCTAGGCATTTTTGTCTAGGCAGGGTCTGGCACCGTGGAAAATGTTTGAGCAAACGGTATGATGATTTTCAGTTTGCGTCTTTGTTTTTAGCAGCATAAGGCGAAGCATAGGAAGGAAAGGAGACAGGTATCAGAAAGGCACTCATGCTTCTCCACTAGGAAAGGGAGGCTGTGGTAATCAACAGAGGGGTTTCAGATGAGGATAAGCAAAGAAATATGCTGGTGTCTCTCAGTTTGGTCACATAATTCTGCTCATAGAAGGAGCAATTATGGAGAAGTGAGAAGAGTGGAGACCTAGCCCTTCAGAGTCTACTGACTCTGTGGACTGAGAAGGTCTGGAGGAGGGGCTTGATTCTCTAGAGCACAGGTCATTATCCTTCCTTCTTTTTGGCAAGGTGGTGAAATCTATGGACCCCATCTCAGAATGTTTTATAATGCATAAAATGTAATTCATAAGATTAAAAAGGAAACCAATTACATTAAAATATCGCTGTTAGAATATGAAAAACAAACCAACCAAAACTTAGCTCAGAAACCCCAGGTTAAGAACCCCTGCTTTAGAGACTTCAATTTTTTTTTCCTCTAAAAAGTAGTCCTCCCACTCAGGGAGGTGCTATATACATTTGAAACAACTAAATAGACCCCTGAATAGGGGAAGCTCACTAATGGAGAGATAATTGGACTAATTACGCATTCTAGCATGATTCCTTTGCTTTTACTGCCAGGAACAGAGAAATCTGTCCTGTCATTGATATTATGTTACCCTACGTGCTTGAATAGGGAGCGGGGGCTCTTTTTTCTTTAGTGATGACTCCAATTCTGTCATTCCTAGGGGAGAGCCAGGGGAAGGGGCAGGAGTTAAAAGAGTAACTTAGTGAGAGAGTTCCAAGGCTGACCTTGGTCCCTGAGAGCTCAGGGCATTGGTAATGAGTTACTTGTTACATTGTAGGACCTTGCACATAGAAAATCAGCTTAATCTGGTATTCCCCATGTGTCTTCTCTTCTGTCTCCATCTGTGAAACCTGCTATTGTGTTCCCATCTAGGGAAAGTCTGCATCGAACATAAGTATACTCAATGATATTCTCACAGTAAGAATATTCAAGTGGGCAATATGTACACAGATAAGAAATCACAAAGTAATTTGGGGGTGCAGTGGAAAGTACTGCTTTTAATAATTCCTGCCATCAAAAAGCTTAAATTCTATTGGGCGAAGGACATAATAGGTTCATACAGATAAGGGAATACAAGATAACTTTGGGGAGCAGTAGGGGAAACGATAGGGGAGGAACAGGAAGGGTGTCGTGGATCTGAGGCTGGAATCTAGCTTTGAAGGGAGTTGGCGCTCAGGTCCTCACATAGAGCAAGTTGCCCCAGGCTTTCTGTGAAAAAAAAATTAAAAATGAGAATAAAAATGAGATCCATTTGAATCTCTGTTCTAACTTAATTCAAACCAACATTTTGTTTTAAGGTTCAGAAATGTTTACAAAAGCAGTCTGCCTAGGTCGGGATGAAGAATGGTAACCTCCTCTTGGGACATAGACCCATCTCAAGTTGAGCCTGGCCAGCCACTGCAGTAGGAATTCCAGTAATAAACACCCCAGGAGAGCTGATTATTTGGAGATTCACAGTTTGATTTTGGAGCCTGGGGAGCCAGCTGATGCTTGGAATGCTGACTATCAGAGTGAAACCAGAACTTTCACTCACTTAAACTTTGTCCATGTACTCCTCACTAGATCTGGTTTAAAGGCAAGGAGGTTAGTGTTGGCCTCAAATATAGAGGCAGCCAGGTAACGAAATCACAGATCTTTGGTAAGAAGTCACAGAAAGGATTCTTTCTCTCAATTGATAAGACCAGTGTGTGTGTGTGTGTGTGTGTGTGTGTGTGTGTGTGTGGTGTGGTGTGTGTGTGTGTGTGTGTGTGTGTGTGTGTGTATGTGTGTGTGTGAGTGAACTACTAGGATTTCATTTCATTGCTGTTTTTCTGCCTTGTCAAGGTCTGAGCATTCTGTTGGCACCACAATAATAAATAATGCATGCAATGTCACTTAATACCATCTTAATATTTGTTACAACACTGGTTTTGCTAACCAGTTTCAACATCCAGGCATGCGCTATTGGAGATTAGGACTAGCTTGGTTAATTTCATAGATTTCCAAATAAAACCCCAAAGGTCTTTGTGCTTTTCAGGCAAGGAGTCTTTAAAATACAGAAACTGTAAATTGTCCTAAAAATGCATGGGTATTGACTCAGGTTTCTGCAGTTTCATGGCCAAAGAAGATGATAAAGGCAGGCAAATAAAGGATTCCTCGAAACTGAACATTTTTTAATGAGATAGTATGTCTATGGAGAACGGAGACCATTGATGTTACTGTGGGTATACTTTCTTGTTCTCTCTATGCCTTGTACATACTGTGGGATAGATAGTCAACAAGCATTGATTAAGTACTTCCTTACATTTCAGGCACTGGAATATAAAGAAAGGCAAAAACAGTCCCTGCCCTTGATTAGCTCACATTCTTTTAGAGCAGATGAAATGATAAAAATAGTACATACAGGGTAAATGGAAGATGATGTTAGAGGTAAGGAACTAGACTGGGAAAGGTCATATGCTGAAGGTGGGGTTTGATCTGAGTCTTAAAGGAATCTGGAGAACCCAGGACATAGAGGTAAGAAAGCAAAGATTCCAGGCTTGGGGAATGGTAACTGGAAATGAATAGAGTCAAAAGATGAAGTGTCCTGTGCAAGGAATTGGAGGGCCAGAGTCACTGGATCATTGTGGACATGGAGGGAAATAAAGTGTGGAAACCCGAGAAGGCTGGAAGAGACTTACTAACCTAAACAGAGGATTTTGTATTTGTTTTTAATCCAAGTTGGGAGCCACTGAATTTGTTGAACAGGGGTGACATGGTAAGGCCTTGTTGAGTCCAATTGCTGCTGTAACAAGAAAATAGGTTCAATCCTATAAACTATTGCCGCTATTGTATAAACTTAAAGCAACTGGAGAAAGTGTCTGAAGGATGAATGTTTAATTATATAACTGCTTTAGAGTGATGACTGTTAAATACTGCATTAGCCACACTTGCGAAGGGAGAAGGGACATCCGTAACCTCAGAAATAACGTTCTAAGTGATGGCTTTTCCTCTAGCGTCCATTAATTCTGCTTCTCAAGATCCTTTTCTTGAACGGTTGATAATTAGAAGGTGGCCTTCCTTAGTTCTTTCCTGGGATAGGGGAGCTATAAACTAGAGTGAATTAAATAATGTCCATCTGAAAGCGAGCTCTCCCTCTTTCAAATTTTCCTTGAGCAATATGGTCAGAGCTTTCCTTTGTTCCTATCATAGTCTACTTTGTATACATATATATATATATATACACATATGCACAAATATACTTTGTATATTCAAGAGCTCTATTCAAAAACATTTATTAAATGCCTCCCACATGCCAGCACTATGCTAGGCACTGTGAATACAAAGACAAAACCCAAATAATCTCTGTCCTCAAGGAAATTACCTTCTAATGGGGGAGGGAAACCACCATATAGATAGATAAGTAAATATAAACTATATAGACTAATAAGTAAGTAAATACAAAATAATTTCAGGGAGGGGGCGTTGAGGAGCACACTTAACAATTGGAGAGATCAGAAAAGAACTTCTCATAGGAGGTGGTGCTTAAGCTAAGCTCTGAGGGGCAGCAAGGATTCCAATTGAGTTTTACTTATATCCATGTCCATGTTGCATGCCCCTCCCAATGTCATCCCCGCATAGACTATAAATTTGAGGGCACAAGTTGAGTTGTTTTTCATTCTTATCATCTTCAGTACATAGAACAGTGCCTTGCATATTGTAGGTACTTAATATGTGTTTGCTGAATTGAATTGATGATAATTAACTGAAGTCCACTTTAGGCGTATATTCTCAAGAGTTCAACATTGTCCAAAAGGTCCTTGGATCACTCATCACTGCCATTTCATGCACCTATACCCACCAAGAGTTTATTTCAAAACCCTCCTTTTCCTTGTGGCCACTAAACAGCCTTGGTCAAAGATTCCAGCCCATCCATTTGGGGACCTGCTTCTTACAAACTACAGCCCCTCCAGTATTTAGCAGTGAACTACAAGGATGGGCAAGGCTGACCCTTTCAGGTTGTTTGGCAGAAGATGTGATGAGCTGTCCCATGCAATGTTGACTACAGGTAGGTGGTGGCTTCTCTGCTCTCCCTTTCTTTGGCTTGAGCCACTGCCACGTTAATGCACTGAAGCCACTCTTCAGCATTCTTCTCATCTTTGGCCTTGAAGACATAGGTCTTGCTGTCAGTAAAAATCTCGAAGGCCCGGGGAAGACTACGGTCCCTGCGTTTCTTGGCCACGATTTTGACACTCTGGACTTTGCTCAGTTCGATGGGGCAGTCATCTGAATCATCTTTCTGAAACAGACCGGAGGGAAGAAAGTGAGACAGTTCCCAAGCTAAACAGAGATTCCAAGGTGTGGGTGAATTTTTGAGAAAGTGCAGATACTCTGGCATGTCCCTCTTTCCCCAAGGTTGTCACCATTAAGGGGAAAGGTTGATGGTATGCGATCACAGCTTTCCTGCTACAAGAGCCGTTGGATGGCCCAACTCCTTCATTTTACAGAGGGGGAAATCTGAGGCACAAGGTCACACAGCTGTCAGTGGCAGAACCAGTATTCAAATCCAGACTCTCTGACTCCAAATCCATATCTCTTTCCTCTGTACCACACTGAATCCCATCACAGTGTCCTATTAGGGTAAGGAGGTCGATATGGCTATGGAGATTTTCATATTGGCACCCTAAAGGGCACATTTCCTATATATATACACTATATATATACTATATATATAGTATATATAGTATACTATATATATAATATACATCCTATATAAAATAACCTTTTGACAATTATTTTATGGTACCATTGGAAGAAAAACTTTTACATGAGCTCCCTGATTCTTGGGTCTTAGCTTTTTATAATAATAGGGCAGGGAGAGGGCAGGAGAGCATTTATAAAGCTAGTGGATGGGGGACTTTGAGGAACAGAGGGAAGGAATAGTCTGTCTTCTGCTAACTTCTATATGACATTAGTAAAGATAAGGACTGGACTTGTGATGTTGACTGAGGAGACACCCTTTATCTGTGTAGATGGGGCTCTTTTCTACAACTTAGTCTTAGAGAGTTATCTAGGAGCCACGGACATTAAGTGACTTGCCCAAGGTCAAACAACCACTATGTGTCAGAGGCAGCATTCAAACCCAGGTTGTCCTGGCTTCAAGGCCAACTCTCTATCTACACACTATGCTGCCTCTAATAGTTTATATTAATTGTCAAATGTCATCAATGTAACTCAGTACTATAAAATGTCATTATTCTGGATTCTATAACTTGAGGACATATCAGAAACTACATGAGGCTAGGCTGAAGTTTTCTTTTGCACCTTCTGCAAGAAAATATTAACATAAACAGAGAGAATTCTTAAGAAGAAACTTTTTAAGACTCAAAGGACTTTAGTACCATGTATTTCAATCTAAACAATGCATATATCAATAAGTGGATTCTCATCTGTTCATTAAAGCAATTCCTTTAAGTGTCTCTACTAGGCAATACTTTATTAATACTCCAGTCTCATTATGTACCTAAAAGTAACACAATTGCTTTTCTTTGAAAATACTCTCTGATTTTGATTTTTTTTTTTGGCTAATACAGAGAGAAAGTGTAAGAGAAAATGAAAGAGAAAAGGAGGGAAAAGGGAGAAAAGAGAGACAACATGAGAGCTGGTCTAAATTCTTGATTTAGTTTTTAAAGAAAGGGTTAATCAGAATCACTGAATCACATGGTTGAGAGCTATTCAGTTTGGCATTTGGCCCCCAGTTTCAGCTTTCTGTCAGCCTGAACATTCTTCTCCCATCATAGACGAGGGTCTTTCATATTGCTAATAAAACTAGAGTGGGTTTGCTGATTGTTGGTAGATTAGCAGGACACTTGAGAGTAGAAGTATTTTGCTGGGGTCCTTATGTAACCCAATATCATTTTCTAAAATATCAGCCATATGTTCTATTAGATTATTGCAATGCCAAGCCATTATTTTATTAGAATTAACATTAATTAGCCAATTATAAAATGTTATCCATAAAATAGCAATCGAAGATTTAAAAAAAAGGATCCTTCTAGACTGTTAGAGATTAGAAAGATTACTTTTATGAATTGAATTTTTTTTCCTTAAGGGCCATAATGAATCACAACCTCTTGAGTGATTCCTTCAATTAAACAAAGATTTCAGATGGCCTTTTTATTTTTCAAAAACAAAATTTTACTGATTCCTTTTACTTTTATATCACAGCCTTTTCTGAACGTGCTGAAGCTCTGTTACTTTACTCACTGCCCCCCAGCTCCTTTTCCCCAATGTTTGGTTTTCTGTTAACAAAAGAAAAAAAAAGCCACAATTAAGCATAACCTGTCTGATAACATATGCAATATTCTGTACCTATAGTCCCCCACTGTGCCAAGGAAAGGAGCGAAATGATTTTCCCTGTCTCTTTTTCAAAGCAATGATTAGTCTTTATAGATGCGTAGCTTTTGACTTAGTTTTAATGTTCAGATGGCCATTTGATTACAATTTTTTTTACTAATGTCTTTTATTTTTATATTTTCTCAACTAGGTCTGTAGTGCTCCCCTTCCCTTTCCCTGCTCCGAGACATCCCATTTCTCAAAGAATTAAAAAGAAAAAAAACCCCAGGCATTTCAACAAAACTACCCAGCACATCCAGGGAGCCTGACAGCAGAAAGAATGTTTCTCACCTCGGCAAAGAAGGGAGGGAGGTGCATTTTCTCATATTTTTTTCTGGAGTCAATTTTGGTCATTATAATTATGCAGTGCTGAGAGTTTTTATTGCAGATATCATTATTATTCTGTCCATTTACATTGCTGCCTTCATTTGTATACTGTATTCCTGGTTTTGCTTTATGCTGCATCAATTCATAGAAGTCCTTTCATGCTTAGAGGCCACTAGGGGGCACCACAGTGCACAGAATGCCAGATTCTAATTTAGGAAGATGAGAGTTCAAAATTGACCTCACATACTCACTAGCTGTGTGACTCTGGGCAAGTCACTTAAATTATGTCTGTCTCATTTTCTTCATCTGTAAAATGGGGATAACAATTGTACCTCACTCCCGTAGTTATTGTGAGGATCAAATGAGATACTATTTTTAAAGTGCTTACCATAGTGGCTGGCACATAATAGGTATTTTAGAAATGCTTGTTTCCTTCTTTCCATGTTTTTCTGGACACTTCATATTTATCAGATGACTATTCTAGAAGCCATTTTAAAATGTTTCAATGAATAGATATGTCCCATTAAAAAGGTGTTGCATCAAAGTTTCTAAGATCACTCCATTCAACTCTAAAGACCAAACTGCCATCAGAGCTTTTCTCTAAAGGGACTTTCAGAACATAAGAATAGGGATTCAAATATAATCTCTTGAAAAATTTCTAATACAGAAGGCTAGAGGTTGAAGAATTCAGACCAAATCTCACAGATAACCTTTTCCCTTTAAAAGGCTAAAGGAAGGCTAAAGGGAAAAGGTTATCCCCTTAAAAGTCTAATATTGCTATGGTGCATTAATCTAATCTATTCAAGTTCAGAATTTGTGATTATTCAGATATGAAATACTTTAGTTAAGTGCTATTATTTTTCCCATTTTACAGTTGAGGAAACTGAGGCAAATAGGTTGGCCACAAAGTGGTGAATTTTCCTTAGCCACAGAAGTTCTCAAAGGTCATCCATCTACTTAGGTGTAAAGGAATTGTGAACTTTGGGGTGGGGGGGGTATCCACCCTACCCCAAATCATGACTCCTCAAGGTACACAAGTTGTAAAGATAGACTATAGGAGTGCTTGACATACAGTCGGAGCTTAAGAAATGTTTGTTGACTTAATCAGGACAGGAGACGGAAGTCAGTCCACTCACCCACCAATGTCCCAGAGAGGCGCATGTAATTAAAAGAATATTACTAAACTGTTGGACAGGGGAGAGCCACATACCAGTTTTGATTCTGCACGAGACAAAATACCCTGCTGACTAGTGGTGTGAAGAGCGTTAGTACAATCAGAAATAATGAAAGGCTTAGAAACTCACCGACTTGCCTTTCCTAAACAGAAGTTGATTACCAGCCAGGGTAAAATAACGGGTTTTCCACCTTTTAATGAACTTCCATCGAACTTGTTTCTCTTTCAGTTTTCCTTCCATGAGAGGTTGGCCATCTTGATTTACAACTGGGAAAGGTGGAAACAAAATAGATTATCAAGACATTCATTTCCCTTTATTTATTTTGGCAGGAAATCAAATGTCTTAGCACTGTACAGTGAACCTGAAACTCAATGAAACAGATTTGGAGAGTTGCCCCATAAATTATGAAACCAATTAAGTTTCTCCCCCAAATTCCACAATCCAGACATGATTATAAGAAAGCATTGAAAACCCTTCATCGGCATTGCTGTTTTACAGCCCTAAAATAGTATTGGTCTCAAATGACAACAGAAAATTATGAGTTTGAGGTTCAAGGCCTAGAAAGGCAGCTAGTTTTCTGGGCATCAATTAAATCTGATTTCAGTTTGCCATTTTTTCAGATGGGAAAACACTAACTTAGAAAAGAGTTAAAAGCCTTCTCAAAAGTATTCTATGCACCCTAAGTCCAAGTTACTGACATTGTACCATTAGTAACGGATTTTAAAGAAGATGCCTGCCCATGATTTGTGACCTAGTCACAGCTTGGGAATGAGACTAAATGGTCAGTAACTCAGCATTTTCAGCAATGATCAGTTGGGTATCACAAAGCACATCCCCTCCCCTGAGCTGTACAAGGAAGTTACTGAAGAAAATACACTCAACTCTGATTTGATTTGCCACATATAATTATGTCGTAATTCTGAGTGGTCTTTTATGTGAGATTACTTTGCAGTAAGGAAACTGGTTACTTAAATGGGGGAAAAATGGAACCCTTTGCTTAATGTAGAAATGTCTTCTCTATATAATATTTATTTACTCAATGGGCTTGGGTTGAACCTGATCCTAGGCTAGGTGATAGGCATTCCAAAAGAGAAATGAAGACAGTCCTTGCCCTCAAGATGCTTTCATTTTACTGAAGAACACACCAGCAGCAGCAACACACACACACACAGACACAGGAAAATACATAATGTATACAAAGAAGTACTCCTCATCAGGGAGGCTTTTATTATTGTCAACTTTCACCTTGTGGTGCTAGGTCAAAGATTGACCCAGGATTCTGCAGCAATAATTTTCAAAGGAAGGATGTGAATTTAGTCCTTCCTGAATGTGTCCAGCCCTCTATACACTATATCATGTGGCCTCCCTAATGTACGACTGACCTATGTTAAAAATGAAAGTGTTGGCACGTTTTTCAGAGTTCACGAATTCAATTATCGCTCAGGCTAAAGCATATGGGGCTACTTTTTCCCTCAAACACAGCAGGGGTGTTACGTGTTATCTTTCTCCTCCCACACCAGGATTACAACAGGGCCCCACTCTATATGAAGATACTATCTCATGTTCAACTTTTATCATTTTCCACTAAAAAATGCACTGTTTTTGGTTTCTGGACCAATTATTATTTGGAATTTCTAGGCCAAATGAAAACCTAATGGTAGAAAAAAATGACCTAAAGATAGGCTTAATTTAAATACTTAGGAACCTTAATCTCTTCTCCCCCCACCCACCAAACCTTTTAGAAAGCTGGAAAAGAGGGCAGATTTCCCCAAACCAATCTTCTTTTTAAAGTCATACCCATTAGCATTCCTTGGCTTCCTGTTGCTGGGGTTACAGACTCAAGATAGATCTAATTTGCCTGTCATTCCTTCTACCGGCATTTCTCTGGGCACCAAAGTCCTTGTGGAAACCAAACCCCTCTCTTTTGCAGCCAGTTAGAGAAACAGGAAGTCACTGTACTAGTCACTACTTGTGCAAATGTCAGATTTTACTTCTTTGCGGAATTTCTTAGGAGAGGAAGGAATGTCGTCTGACTTAGTGAGACAAATAGCACGTGATGTTTAGGAGGTCCAAAGCTCTAGGGCTCTCCGTTCATGCTGTCTCAAGCTTATCACTTCATTCCTCCATGGTTTTGGGGTGTAGTGGCATGTGGTGGGAAGAGGATGATAATTACAAAATATAGACCTCTCCATGTATTTGAGCCTCCCAACAAGTAAAGTAGACACTTCAGTCAGGTACGGATGTTATCTGCCCCATCTTACAGATGAGGAAACTGAAGCTTAGGAAGTTTAATTGACTTGCCCCTGGTGACACAGCTAATGAGTACCTGAGGTAGGATTTGAGCCTGGCTCTTCTTGTCAGAGGACCTGGATTCAAATCCTACTTTGGTCAGTTACTATCTGTGTGACGTAGTACAAGTCCCTTAATCTCTATGGGCTACAGGGCCTTCAACTGTAAACTGGATGTGTTGAATTTGATCACCTTTAAGGTCCCTTGTAATTTTAAAGCTGTGATTCTATGACTTAAATATAGCACCCTTTCTTCCATGCCAGATGCTAACCTACATTTCTAATTCTAGCTGTGCAATGAGACAACAAGCTATTAAGTACTTACTTTGTGCCAAGTACTGTGCTAGGGCCTGAGAATATAAATGGGAGCAAAAAGAAAGACAGGCCTTGCCTTCAACAAGCTTACATTCTAACGGGGGATGAGAACACAAAAAAGGAGATGAAAAGTGGTGGAGGAGGGAAGAAAGAGGTACATGAAGTCCAGAGAGTTAGGAGTGGAGTAAAGAGAGGAACTAGGAATTGGCATGGCTGACGTTGGACACTTTCCCAAAATGGGGGGTCTAGGGAAAATTCCCCAACTGGAGGAGGAGATTGAGTAGGTAGAGGAATCTTCTGGGCTGAGAAGGATGCTGAAATGGATATCTCGTAGGTATCTCAAACTCAACATGTCCAAAACGGAGCTCATCATCTTTTCCTCTCACTTCACCCCTTTTCTGAACTTTCCTATTTCTGTTGAGGTACCATTATCTTTCCATTTAA